TATTATGTACATTATTTACATTATTCGGACTATTGTCTTCATCTTTATTGTCATATTTATTACAATATTTCGGCCGTTGTACGCTCCGGTCTTCTTCAGATGGTTGGAATGTAGAACTGAACCCTTTATTTCGCTCACTGGAGTAGACTGTTCTAGTTCCAGGTACCATGTTTAATGGATGTCAGTTATCAGTTATCTTCTGTTAATTTCCCTCTGAATGTTCTCCACTGTCTTAACCGGATATTGAACTCACATTCTTTGGGTCCTGTCACTGGATCTAACTAACGCCTTTATCCACTGTGTCATGTGTCTGCAACGACACTTTCTCTCTCCCTCTCTCGAAAAACACCTTCTGGCACGACACAATGAGCCAACTTTCCTTGCAGCCGATGCAGCTATTGATTCAATGTAATTGTTCCATTTCAAGTCATTCGAAAGCGCAAAGCCAGTGAGGTGCAGTGAAACACTTTTCTGAAGTCTCGCATCAACCATGCTAATGGTCTTCTGGGCGATTGATTTTTTCAACCCTACATCCTCTTGGATGTTAAGAATTGTTATTTTACTTTTGCGAGGGGATACCGTAATAACATTTTCTGAGAATAACAATGACTTTTTTATCAGATACATGAATTACCATTTAACCCATAGGCGCGGAGAAGAAGATGTATTCCCGCCTTTCCCAAGAGTATCTGCTTCGGAAAGGCAGCATCCGCGCATTCATATATTATGAGGAAAGAAAGTAAAGAGAATCTAACACTCAAAGGGCACACGGAATACAAGAGAAATATAAGGAAAACAGCGAGTCAGGTACTTAACAAGTTTGAATGCATGAATATCAGAACGAAGGCAAAAGGGAATGTTGATTAGAATAACAAAGGGCAGGGTGTAGGAGAGAGCCATGATGGCCAACATGTTTAAGGTCATAGAAAATAAAAGTAGAATCCGCGATTTAAATAACTTCACAAAAATCAGAGTTATTTCCCTCAAATATATAATAAATATCATTCGAATTATTTGAAAAGCAAATGGGAAATTAAGTTTGTGATTTTGCCGAGAGAGCACACGTAAGAGAAGTCGGCTGAACAGAATTTTAGTTGAACAGTCCCACTCCCCAGTGAAGACGATTTACATGACAATGGAATCGGTAAAATTTAATGGACAAATCAAGGATTATATTTAAAGTGAGACAAAGAAAGATTCAAATCCTAATACACTTGTTTCTCTGAACTAAAAAAGGAATTTCTGAAAATTATGAAATATGGCGAGTGGGTTTTATTCCAATTTCAGGAAAATCTTTTTTCCGGGCGTAAAATTCGTGAGATATTTTTTTTTATTTGCATTGCCTTCAACACCGTATAAACTGCGGGTTTTACAATATTTTAATTTGTTATCCCGTCTTAGTTTCTAATTTGGTGGACAATCAAAGAATCACAAATGAAATAGAGATGCTGATAAGAAATATATATATCTAAAAATCTAATGTACATATATATATATATATATATATATATATATATATATATATATATATATATATATATATATAGTATTATTGGCGGAGTAGGGGGGCTACTTATTTAATTCTTAGCATACTAAGAAAGACATCTTTGTTCATTTAAAAGCTTCTTGGACATCATATTTTGGGAATGGATCCGACATGCCCGGCAAACAAAACCATGGAGTTTTACTTTGAAAAGACTAACTTCATAAAGTTCAGACGTCATCCAAGAACCACCATAGACACAACACTGAACCGAGATATTCAAAGAATAAAGCAGAAAGATCTTACTTTTCCTTTGTAGAAGTTTACAATCAAGGAAGATCTTCAACGAATCTGCAAATTCGCAGAGGACAGAGAAGGCTACCAAAATCTTGTCGAATATAACCTTGTAGTGTGTACAGCTCCGTTAGGAAAACCTCAGCGTAGAAGACGAATAAAAATGTGGAGAAGACACAGACTTATCTTAGTTCCCTTTTCATTTTAGTGTAGCTATTCAATTCATTTTCTTTATGTATGCAGGCGGTTTGCTCCTAATATAAGTTCTGGTTTATTCTAACAACCTTTCCAAATTGATCAAGTTTTCCTAGCACTTCAAATAGATCCGTTACCCTGTCGGCTGGAGCTTCAAAATACGCCGACTCCACCTCTGCAGAGAGGGTAAGACCCCCCCCCAACACACACACACACCAAAAAAATACAATGTCACTGAAGATGAGAGAACTTGTTGATAATTCATGACCTCAAATGATGATGAAATCCGATAACATACTGTCTAATATGTTCTTCGCGGTTTAGTTTTCTGGTGATAATTAAATTGGATTAACAAGAAGGCCTTCCAAAAAACACCTCGCCCAACTTCTGTTTGACAACTTGTTCCGCCATTTTATATTCACGATTCGTCGCCTATTATTTGCGTGTTTATCTTTGCGATGTTCACTTAAAGATGGTAGTTTTGTTGCTTTTATGTCTTTAACTAATTATCTTTAACAGTAAAAGCAAACAGAGCCCTGTCGGTTGGGGCTTCAGAATACGCCGACTGCACCTCTGCAGAGGGGGTAAGACCCCCCCACCACCACCACCACCAAAAAAATATAAGCCAAGTATTATAACCCTTGTTTCGATGTCTGTGTCGTCACAGAAATATACTATTCGATGTTAAGGAAAATAACAGAAACATTACAAGAGTTGCCTTATACCCATTTTTATGCATTTACAAAATTGATAAATGAAAGGGAATCATTTTAATTTCAAATTCTATTTTCATGCCATTTAATTACTTTTAAACGTTAAATTGTTTCATGGGCAGAATCTTTCGCCACTTAGCAAACACTTTTTTTTCTGTTTTTTAAAATAAGATTAATTTCCATAAAACGGCAAGCAAAGTGTTTTGAATTTGACGGATGTTTCCATGATATCAGGACAAATTCCAAAACATGAATCAGCAACGCGAAACTACTCCACTTTCTCTCCCCAAAATGCATGAAAATTCAGAGAAAATAAAGAAAGAAACAATCAGTGTAGAACTGTGATCTCTAACTTCATGAAGGAGAATGGCATTTAAAATTGGCAACCACAATCTTAACAACATAAGATACGCAGACGATGTTGATAATAGAAAAGAAACTACAAGTAATCCTACAGGAAATATTGAAGAAAAGGGAAAAGAAAGGACTTTAAACTAAAAAGGAATTTCCAGAAATTATGAAATACTGCCAGTAAGTTTCATTCCATTCATTCATTCTAATTTGGTGGAAAATCAACGACTAACAAGTGAAATAGATAGAAATGTTGATACGAAATATGAAAAGGAAGTAATATGTCCATGTTTCGCTGTCTGTGTCGTCACAGAAATATAATGTGATCTCCAACTTCGTGAAGTATGATGGCATTTAACATTGGCGACCACAGATATGCACACGATACGGTGTTGATAGCAGCGACAGAAAGAAAAAAAACTACAAGAAATCCTAAAGAAAATATTGAAAGAAAGCTAAAAGAAAGGACTTAACATCAATTGTAAGTAGATTGAATGTATGCTTGTTTGCAAAAAAACTACCTAACATGCAAATTGCAAATTGCTGATACCAAAATCAAAGAGGTGTTACAATGTATATATCTTCGAAGTGTCTTAACAGAGAAAGGAAATTAGAAGGCACATTTGCATGAAGAAAAAGGCCTTCGAAAAGAAGAAAAAAATATTAAGAAACAGAAAGATAACGTTAGAAACAAAGAAAATAGTACTGAACTGTCATATCGTATCTGTTTTCTTATATGGCAGTGAATGCTGAACAATTTCCTCACAGATGAAGAAGAGACTTGAAGCAAGAGAAACAATGAAATGAGTACTGAACTGTTACATAATATCAGTCCTTTTATATGGCAGTGAATGCTGGACAATCTCCTCACAGATGAAGAAGAGACTTGAAGCAACAGAAACAAAGAATAGATTACTGAACTGTTACATAATATCAGTCCTTCTATATGGCAGTGAATGCTGGACAATCTCCTCACAGATGAAGAAGAGACTTGAAGCAACAGAAACAAAGAATAGATTACTGAACTGTTACATAATATCAGTCCTTCTATATGGCAGTGAATGCTGGACAATCTCCTCACAGATGAAGAAGAGACTTGAAGCAACAGAAACAAAGAATAGATTACTGAACTGTTACATAATATCAGTCCTTCTATATGGCAGTGAATGCTGGACAATCTCCTCACAGATGAAGAAGAGACTTGAAGCAACAGAAACAAAGAATAGATTACTGAACTGTTACATAATATCAGCCCTTTTATATGGCAGTGAATGCTGGACAATCTCCTCACAGATGAAGAAGAGACTTGAAGCAACAGAAACAAAGAAAAAAGTACTGAACTGTTACGTAATATCAGTCCTCCTATATGGCAGTGAATGCTGTAAAATCTCCTCACAGATGAAGAAGTAACTTGAAGCAAGAGAAATATAGTTCTACAGAAAGATGCTAAAAATTCCACGGACTGAACATGCTAGCAACGACAAAGTTCTGGAGACAATGTCAAATAAAAACACATATGCTTAACGTTAAGAAGATACAGCTGAAATTTCTAAGACACATAATGAGGAAAGATGGCTTCGAAAATGTGACACTCACAGAATAGATTGAAAGTAAGTGGGCCAGAGGAAAGCAACGTATAACCTACCTAGCGAGCTTCAGAGATTGAATGTCGGAACAGGGTTTTGAAAACATAACAAAAACACAAATGAACTACAAAGAAGAGGAAATTGTAATCACGGTACATAGAAGAGTGTTTTTATATTCACAACCCGAATTCTAAAGTCTCTCATGCTTGTAAAATCTATAGAGAAATTAGTATTTTTAGACTACGTGTATGATTTCTTTCATTGTAAGTAAATTAAACTGTTAGGACTTTGAAAATAAATTAAAACGAATTGGTGATCGACTTCAGGATTTTTATGTTTTTCTTATAGACAATGTTCTTTTATTTTGGTGCTTTGCGTTCAGAAAAAAAAAGAAAACACTTCGTTTACTATGATAGCCTCTGAGTGATCAAATGTCACGTCTGAAACTGGTTTCTGTATTAAATGAGTTAATGGCTTTTTCAGACACAAGTAGCGAGATATTGGGCCGTAAGTAGCGACCCAACGCGACGCCTGATGCGCTTTGCTTATCTGAAGAAGTGTCCGTAAAGTGGAATTGCCAGCTGTAGAAAATTTCTGTGACGGACAGCTGGATCTCGTATTAAGTTTGGTTCACGTCAAAGAGGACAGTGCAATATAGAAGATGTATCTGTTAGAAGAATTAACACATTTGTATCTTGTTTTTTACACGGTTAATAAGTCCGGTATTTTTCATTAGATTTACAAAAGACAATTCCTTCCCATCTCTCTCCATCGTGTTAACGCATATAAAAACATTTAAAATAAAAGAGAAAGAAAAAGATGTAATGTAGGTAAATCCAAAAATATTCATAAAAGGGCATATTATGATGAAAAAAAGACCCCAAACTTGATACAAACAACGTTTTATTGTCAAAATATTTATGTTATTGTTAAGAGGAAAGACCAAAGTATTTTTTTTTATTTTATTAATTTCTTTAACCGTTTAACGTTAGAAATTTTGTTAAAAATCTTTTTTTTTTTTTTTTTTTTCGTCAGCGGTGGTGATCAATCATTGCTATAGAAATTTTTGCGTGGTTTTTGTTGTTAAAAACATATTAATTTGGAAATTCTTGCAAAAATGAAATAATCGTTATATTTTAATGAAATTTCCAGTGCTTATTCACAAATGAATGAAATCATTCTTGAAATACTATTTTTTTAGAAAATCTTCGTAAAGACATATTTTTTTTATATCTGCTCCTCTTACTTATTTTATGAAATTTCGTGAAGTTAAAATTTCAGCTTTTTCATATATATGTTAGTTAAAAGCAGGATTTCTTGGAGAGTTTAAATCATCAACTTGTTTTTGTCAAGCAGAAACACCATTTACTGAAAATATGCTCTGAATCGTAAAATAAAAAAATGCATTAAAATTATGACATTATTTAAATCAAAAAACTTTTAATTGCTTTTATAAATAAGATATATTAAGGACACTATTGTCTTAAAAAAATATATTTTCGATGAATAATGAATTTTTACAAGGATTGTTTTTATCCTTTAAAAATTATAATTACACAAATTTATTAAGTTTAAAACTGTGAATATTCTGTATTAATTGCACCCTTTTAGATCATGTTATTATTTAGTGAAATGTATATTTGCTAATTATAAATGGAAAAAGCTTAATACAAATCATCAAATATCAATATTTTTAAAAGAATTTAATTTTCGTTTTGTGTACAAACGTGGCGATGTTTGTAAGTACGGTAACCATACACGACATAATCAGAAAATAAGATCGATAACTATAGCAAATTTAAAGTCAACATTTCTAAAATTTAATAAAGCATTAGATTATGGAGAATGTTTTCCAAAATTTTAAAGATTACTGAGTACTTAAAAGTTATATAAAAATGCGCTTGCGTCCTTTTCTTAAATTATGTTTTACAGATAAAGTGTCAGTAGAACAATATTAGGCAGCAGGCTGCCAACACGTCAAATCAGCTACTCTCGCGTAGAATATGCAGCTACTGTGGATCTAAAAAATGCATTTTTCCGAAATTTTAAACTTAAAGGGAATAATATTTATTTCAGATCATATTAGTTATACGTAATTACTTTAAATTTCCTCAGAAAAAGTTTCAGAAAATAATACTTTATTTTTGCAAGATTTTTAAACCGACAAATAATTTATGTTTACAAATATCTAAAAAATGAACAACTTTGACGAAGTTAATGAAAAAAAAAATGAAAATCGATTCCAATCAATATTTCTGTTTGAAATATACCAGTGTATTTCCCTTACTATAAATAGTAAATTGAATCCCTTAGCTTTCAATTAAAACTAAAAGGAAAGCTTGAAAAATGTTTTTCATCTTTTCATTTCTTCATCTGGCATTATAGAGCTGTTTACTAAGTTAAACCTTAGATTTCACGATTTTGGTGAAGGTACCTAATTTAATATGATATAATGAAGTTTATATGTACGGATAATGAATTAAATATAAGTGCCCATCACAAATCATCTAATAAAATGATCTTGTCAATTCTATAACAATAAAATATAATCCAGAATAATTACCGTATTGTTTTTAAAATCATTCAGAATGTGTATGCCTCAATATTTGCATGAAGAAGAAAATAACACTGAAAATGCTTTAAGCTCCTACAATACACTAATTATTTCATATTCAATGTGAAACAAAAAATAGAATACAAATTTATAAATAAAATATTAAAAAATTGCAGTGGCTATGTTTGACAACCTAACGAATCTAAATATTTTATTCTACCTACAAACTCTATCACAATTACAACTGAAGAGAATTTCTCTAAGTTTAACATAAAATTTACTACAATACTAATTTATTACAATTAATGCAAAACAAAATAATAATATACTAACATTTCAAAGAATAATTCACTATATCACCTGTAATGATTGTCACGAGGAATACATGGGAGAAACCTAAAGACATTTAAATAGAAGATTATATAAACACAAAAGGATTTTTTACAAAACAGCACACTAAATGCATTCGTTGCTCATCGTGATGAGGCTGGCCATGATTTTTATTTAAAAAAAAAACTAATTCAATTGAAAGAGAAAGCAATTTACTAAGACGAAAGTGTATAGAAAGTGTCTTGATCGCTAGATCATCCACAACAAATTTGCGTCTAATTTCTTACAAAATTTCATATTTCTTAGTAGATGCTCTATTATCGCAATGTAGGATATTTAATTGCGAAAATGATAATGCATTGCTTTAATGTTGGGGTATATAAGACATATCTGAGGTCTTAATTTCTGGAGCTTCTCAATTCCATGTGCTCTCCTTATGAGGGACCAGATGGAAAAAAAGAAAGTCTTTAAATTTCCCGGAAGAAAGATAATTTCCTTTTTTTTTCTATGGAATCATGAGAATTAGATTTTATTTTTTAATTCTCTTGATTGTGAGATCCGTACAACTGAATGCTACAGACAAGGAATAATATAATTTTTTTAAATGTAGTTTCTCTTGTTTTCATCCAAGGCAGCAAATGAGTTGTTCCTGACAATGCAGGAATTGTCTGTAGTTTTTATTGTCAGTTTTAAAAATTTTGTATATTCTCTAGTATTCATCAGTAACAAAATATAGGAACTATTTGTCAGAAGATGAAATGATGAAATCAAACTGACAACTGAGAACATTATGCTGTAAATGAAGAAATCATTTATTATTAAATTTCTTGGCAGATTTTTTATTATCACAAGGTGAAATGCTTAATGATAAAAGTAATAGAAACAAGGCATGGGGGAGTAATAGATAGCGGCTCGGACTGAGGAATCGGTGAGCCAAGTTTGGATTTCAGTCGTGCTAATACCCTTGGGAAAGGTGTGAATCCTCTTCTTCTCACCCCACCCCCAGCTATAGGTAAATAGAAGGACAGACTGGGTTCTGTAGCCTTGGATGGTAATTGCTCTACCGTAGAAAGAAATGGCAACCTAATGCGAGAAAAAAAATCTGCCTCGTCAGTCATGTATCGAAATATACATGATCACCTAAGCGTTTATCACGCATGGCACAAAACTGACTGAACGAAAAGAAATTAAACGGAATTGGCTATATACGCAAATACATATTTAACAATTTTTTTCATAATTAATTTAATGTGGTTTTAATTATTGCCAGTTGCAATTATAACCCGATATGCATGACTCATAAACATATCATCGACAAAATCTCTTCTTAATGCATTGGATTAATGCTGGGGGCGGGTGTAAAATTTGTTGGTGGTCTATTCCAAAAGACTTAACATTTCTGTCTCGCGGTTTAGGGCTAGAGAGACAAGGGGTTCACTGATTATAAGTCAGCAACGTTCGACGAAACTGCTCGAAGACTCTCAATAAGTCAGCGTTAGAGATTTCAGTATAGTAGCCTTGTTCAAACAAGTGATTACTGCAGATAATTCGTTCTGTCTAAGAAGCGGTAACTTAAGTCAGTTTGGCATAGGTGCAGTATGAATCAGGCTGGCTCTGTGTATGTTGAGCATATGTGAGTGAACAGACGTCTTCAATAGGGATTAGCTAGCAATATTAGAAGACAGATATATTCAGATCAGAGAGGCTAGCCATGCGTGTGTGTATATATATATATATACTAACAACATGGCCCGGCGTTTCCCGTGCTTGATTCAAAAATCGTACGACTCATACAGCAAACGCTATCACTTGACTTAAAATGTTTTTACACTTCCTTGCCCTTAAAGGAGTGCCCTTTGCCGTGCTGATGTTGCTACATGCCTTACTTCTTGCCTATCTCACACTGCGAATTTTTTCTAAGCTCTATACTAAACATTAAATCTGTTACGAAAAAAGAACTAAACAAAATGAACACAAAACGATCAGCTTTAAAAAAGGACTCGTAACTGGAAAAACCGAATGAAAAAAGAATGTTAACAACAAATACTTTTTCACACCCAACCCAGTTCTGCGGAATCAGAATCAACGTTGAGTTTAAGCAAGTGAATAAGCCAATTGGAGTAAAGTGCCATGCAGATTTAAATTTTTCCCACTTGTGACGAATGCAGCTATCGATTGTTTTTGCATGCTAACATGCTAGTTAACATTCGAGTCAGTCAGCTGTTGGCTCTCACGCTGGCCAATAGAATCTTCCTGCCTATTCGTGGCAGCCAGGTATTGGCTCTCACTCTGATCAGTACAAAATGGCCGCAAACTACATGTAAACTGCCGTAGAAGAATGAAAAAAATTCGATTATTTCCACTATCGATGGGAATTGGGAAATGCAAAGACGGTCTTGGCCTTTCGACTAACATGGAGTATGTGCATGTAAATTTTGGTGCAAATCCGTCGAAAATTGTGTCCGTGCATTCGTTACACACACACTCCGACTCCAGTGTTTCGTAGACTGACCCTTTCGTCCACTTATCAGAGTATATCAGCAATTGACTGCTCGATTTGTCTTTTTTATATTCACATATCATTGGTGCATGTCTATTTCCATGGTGTGTGTGTGTGCGCACGCGCGTTCGCGCACAGGCGCCTATGCACCCGTCTGCGCGGATG